CATCCTAGGTACTTATCAAATCTTGCCTACCCTGCAAAATAGCTCTGAAATCAGACTGTCTTGATTTGAATTTGGGCTTTGATATAGAATATAGCATATCATATAGCCTTGGGCATTCATTCACTCATTCACCTCTCTAAGCCTCAGTGTTTTCTCTGTTTCCCCATGTGGAGCTGTCTTTCTGAACCTTTGCCTTCTTACCCTCCAGGTTTTACCTTAAATATGATCACCTCTGAGAGATCATCTTAGCTAAAGCAACAACTCCTTTCCTGCCTCCTCATCCATCATTATTTTCCATCAAATCACCCTGTTAATTTCCTCTGTTAACAAATGTTTGTTGAGAGTCATTTTAGACTATGCTTGGTATCTAATTGCAGGAGATACAGTCCACAATGACAACTATACTTCTGGAGCTTACAGTCTAGTGGGAGGAGACAGACAGACAGATGATAAGTAAATAATATTCTAAGTATTCTAAAGTACTTGTTGACCCTACATCTCTCAATAAAGTTGTTAGCTCTTTGGGGGCAAGTTTTGATGTATTGATTTTTGCTGAATTCTCAGTGCCTAACTTGATGTTTAGCATGGCATATGCTTAAAAAATAAGGTTAAAAAAAAGAATAGGATTTTGAAGAGTTAAAGGAGATAATAATAGAGATAAAGTAGATAAGCCACACTAAAGCTCTTAGCGTAGTGTCAGGAACGTAGTAAACACTTAATATAAGTGTTGGCTGTTTTTCCATTAGATTACAAAGCTGTGTTCTTAACTACTTTTCTACACTGTGTCTATAATAATACCAACTATAATAATAACTGGTTATTATTATAGAATTATATATAACAATGTACAATTACTAAATTCTACTGCATGCCATGAACTGTCTAGGCACATTTAAAATAATCTTATTTAATTATAGTACCACAATAATCCTGAAAGTTAGACATCTTTAAGTACCAAATTCCTATAATTAAAAAGCAGACTGTGGTAAGCATCAAAGACAGGTACAAATGAAGTGCTGTATGATTTCAGAGGAGGAGATGATGCATGTGGCCAGGCGGGTAGAAGAGATGAAATAGAAAAAACTTAATGGGGGCAGGATGCTAACAGAGCAACAGAAGAATATGGTGGGGGGGGGGGCGCCCAGGCAGAGGGAGAGAGCACCAAAGAGGCTGCAAATGGTGCACCATTCATACATGACCAGAATGTGAAGTGCATAGAACATTACCATAGGGCTAGAAGTGGAGGGCAAAGGCAGGAATTTAAGATTCACTTCATAGGTAAGGGGGACCCACTAAAGTTTTTCAGCAGATGGATAAGAAGAACCAGGATTGTGAGCTTTGGGAAGATTAATTTAGTCATAGGAGAGATGAAAAAGTAATGAGTTTAACAAGGCTACTGCAATAGTCAGATGGTAGGAAAAAGAGAGCTGGTTTTGGAAGTAGTAGTGATAACAGAATGAAGGGAGCAAACACAATGAGCACAATTACCTGGCTCAGGTACAAGAAAGAGGTAAAGGAAAGTGTCACACCTGACTGTGAGGTTCCAAGCTTCCACTGTTGAGGCTCTTCAGATATACCTGATACAATATTAAGTTCAGATCCAGATAACTTATTAATTCTTTAACTCAGACTATTTTTAAAAAGTCCTTTCTCATGATGGACTTGACCTTTATTTTACTTAAGAGTGTCTGTACTTTCTGTTACTTCACATATTATGTCTACTTGATAGCACAGTGTCCTGGTGCAGAGTTAGTACAAGAGTGGCATTCAAGAAATGTTTGTCAAGCTGAACTAAATTGAATTGAATTATTGGTTATGGCCTATATCTTGGTTGCCACCCAAGTTGAATACAGCTTCTACCTTCAGGAACCTAAAGACAGATAAAAGTAAACCAAGTGAGCCGGGTGCCGGTGGCTCAGACCTATAATCCTAGCTATTTGGGAGGCAGAAATCAGGACGATCACTGTTTGAAGCCAACCCAGGCAAATAGTTTGTGAGCCCCTATATCAAAAATAAGCAATACAAAAAAGGACTGGTAGAGTGGCTCAAGTGGTACAAAGCCTGATTAGCAAGCATGCGGTCCTTAGTTCAAATCCCAGTACTGCAAAAAAAAAAAAAAAAAGGTAAATCAAATGGATCTACTCTATGTACGAAGGGCCAGGTTCACCAGGATCCAGGTGACTGAATGGCTTGCAGTGGGATGGTCTTGCTCTTGCATCTGGTCTGTATCACACCTGCTCACAGATACTACGAGGACCACAGCATCTGAAAATGACTGTTGGTGTTTGGAACCTAGGGGAATAAAATTATGTTACTAATTACCTTCATAAGAAAAAATGGCTGGATTGATTTGCACTAAATTTGGCAGGTATTTTGAGGCATGGTATGATTTATAGAAAATTCACCTGTCAGTGATATGTGTGGAGGAATGGGAGTGCTTTCTTGTTGGTACCTAAAGAAGATGGCTGGCATCCTACAGAGCCACTGGAGCTGATGACAGTCTTATTGCACTAGACATCAAATAGACAATGCTTTAAAATATGAATTTTGAGTCAACACTTGGAAGAGTAGATGATCCAAAGAACAGGCATAGATTTGCATTAAAGAGCAACAATGTGTAGCATGCTCGAAGGCAGACTGTGACAAGAATTTGTTATTCAATTGTCATTGGTTAATAATTCTCCCAGGGATAAAAATTCCAGGGACCCCAGAGAAATTCATATTCTCTCCTCTGGTACTATTCCAAACACTAAAAGTAAGGTCTTCATAATCCAATTGTGCTAGCCTGAAACTTTCCTCTTGGTGTTGGATATCTTGTTTGTCCTTCTAAATCTATACCCATCCTTTTCCACATCCTCTCCCATACCCCATGATGCTCTGAATGGACTGTGCGCATCAACTCCCTTTCTTCTGAGTTTTGGTTGAATTTGAGCTCAGAGTAGGCAGGAGAAGATTGGAGTAAGGGAGGCTAAAGTTCCCTGGCTCCTTCACCATGAGGTCACATCAGGCTAGCTGTCTTTCCACACAGCTTTCTCTGTCTCTAGTGCTCCAGAAGTAGTTCCCTCTCCTCACCTTGGATGCACAGATGCTCTGTGATTTCCCTATACTGTGCCCGCACCTTGTAAGTAGCTCCTTTATGAAACTTCCCATTTGAATGACCCTAATTTGGGTGTGGCTTTGTTTCCTCCTGGGATGCTGCTGCTGATACACCTTGTTTCTGTGGAGCTGCATAAATATTTTCATTTTCCCTCCAGGGCCTCATCTTTGGGTAAAGAAAAACAAATCTATTTCTTCTCTCTCTCTTTCGTTTATTACCCCCACCTCAAAATCCTGTGCAGGATTTCTATTCTTAGGGGAGCCCTTTTCGTGCAGTATTCTTCCTTATTGTGGGAATTTTTCCTAGTGAACTCTAGGTTACTCATGGGTGGACAAAGGCCATAGATTCAAAGTGTCTCTTTGTTTATTTTCCTGTAAAACAAAATCACTGCTTCTAATAGTTGGATTTATGTAGCTGAAACTCTATTGCAAATGCTAATTCTTCAGAGTGGTTTGATTTTTTTTGTGTTCACTCATTTAAGACAAATCCTCGGGGAGGTGCTACGGAGATGACCTTCCTGTTTAAACATATTACCCTTTGTGCTTATAGCTCTCTGCCTCTCCATACCCACTTTTTATCCTTCCCCAAATGACTAGGCTCTCCTATCTGCTGCCTTGTAGGGTTGGCCAATGGAAGTTATTAGCATGAAACAAACAAAAAAAAAAAACAGGGGGAGGCAAATGGAGCTATTTACTTCCCTCACTCCCTTTCTCATGGCTGTGGCTTTTGACAGGTTCTGGAAGTAGCTTCTCCACTGTGATCCTTCAGTCCTTGAGTGTTATCCATTTCTCACTGTTGCTGGACCTGGCTACTCCTTCCCAGCTCCCATCATCCTACTTATGCCCCTGGACATAGCTTGGATGAAACACTTGTCATTTACCACTTTGGGTATGCCATCTGTTTCCTGTGGGGGCTTTTACTAACATGCAATTTTTAATGTCATTCAGGTATCAGAACCTGGGATTGTAACCTATCATCCTAATTCAGAAGACACACTTGGGATTCTAATACTTCAAATCATAAATATTTCCTCAAGTTCATCATAAATCAAGTACAATTTCTATCAATGTGGTTTCAAAAAATATACACTGGACTCTAGGAATAAGCTGAATTCAGAATCCTAAATTCCCAGACAGACACCTTCTTGAGAACAGGATCCCAATCAGCTATCCTTAGAGACACAGCAAGCAAAGGCATTTCCCTGAGGGCGGGGGTGACCCTGATTCCTATCTTGTTTCCTGTTCTAGTGAGCTGAGCTGGTCTACATGTTGGCCATGGGAGCCATTATTGCGCCTCCAGCCCAAGAGCTCAACCAAAACCAGACAGGTCATCCTTTTTGGCCTGTTTTCCCCAGGCTCACATTCAGAGCTGGAGAAAGACTGAGATGACTCTTCAAATCAAAATGCCTTAAATATTTATTTAACATTCATTAAGCAAGTTATAGTTGGAATTGACTAAGAATGACTTTTAAAATTTACTGTATACCTTGACCTCAGTGAAATCAATTTATATATTTTGTTAGTTATGTTGAGAGAGAGAGAGAGAGAGAGAGAGAGAGAGAAATCTGAGTTCCACTGGGTCCTATAGGTAGGAACAGTGGCCCATCCAATGATACTCTCATTCTCATTCTTCTCTGCAGAAGATCAGCCTTCTAGAGTGGATGCTCAATTAATTGTGCCTGTGTCAGACACTTCCACATAGCAATGAAGTAAGAGGAAGCCTTGAGTGTCTCCAGAAGGTAAAATACACCACAACCGGACTTCCTGCTTTGGGCTGAATTAGGATAACACCTTTATGTACGACAGGAATGACCTACTGAGCATTGGAAACTAGGTACTGAGGCTGAGTAAAATAAAGATGAAGGAAGGAGGAAAGAGGCCAAGGGGACAAAGGCTGAGTATTTTTTTCAGGGTCTCTTTTTCCCACAGTCAGTGCAGGGGATACACATGTCACCAGCAAGTGAACTGTGGGCTCAGATAATAGAGGGGAAACCAGCAAGTCAATCCAGCTGCCTTGATGACAGCTATGTGCACTTCTGGGTTTGCACTGCTCAAGTCAGCTCCCTTTTGCCTTGGTATTTTTATTTTTGTGCACATTGAGATGTGTGATGTCAAACTAACTTATGTAGGAAGGTTGTCTAATCTCCACATCCCACGAAATTAAGTTTTTAGAAAAAGTAATGATATGATATCACTACTTGTCCCATTAGTGGATTCCTCCTTTTTCTTTTCCCTTCTCAGTAATAATTTCATTGTCAGCTGTGTCCCTGAAATAGCTTTTTTGATTGATCAAGACATCTGGGACCCCTGCATAGCATAATCCTACAAGGTACTATAGCTTGAAAAGAACTGTAGAACCCAGTCCAAACAGATTGCTTCAGCAACCCAACCTGTGTTTTAGGGATAGAAATGTGCTAGGAACAAAAGGTAAAGAATTCTTACCAACCTAGTCCATCCACATTCGAGGAAGGCACAAGTAGATTATCCATTCATTGCATTATCCAATGTTCCACTAATAACTAAAAAACAAGGGCAGATTTTATTTTAAAAAAATACATCTTTATCTCCTTGTATTGGGCTTCTTTTCTTCTCTCTGCTGGCTCTGTTTTTGTTTTTCTGCCATTCCAGAGGGACCTCTCTATCTTATATCTTACTACTCTCACCACAAGCAAAGTTGTTCTCTCTATAGTTTTCTCTGTTCCTCTCAAGGGTTTCTTATATCTTACTACTTTCACCACAAGCAAAGTTGTTCTCTCTCTAGTTTTCTCTGTTCCTCTCAAGGGTTTTCCTACTATGGCCTCCTGCTGTACTGTATCATAGACTAAATCCTTCATTATTCTCTCTGGTAATGAAATGACAAAGGCACTGCCTGGAAGCACAGTTTTGTGGAACAAGGTAAGGTTAGCTCCTAAAAATCCATTTGTGTCTTTTTAAAGTGAGTTTCCCCTAATATCCAAAGAGCTAAAAGTGACCAGAGTGAGAAAGAAATATTTGACAACATACCAATTTAATGGAGATCCAAAACATTAGAAAGAAACAATCACAGCTGAGCACTGCCCAGAGAGGTCAGACTTGCTACAGAATAGATTTTCTGTGTCTCATTTTAAAACCTCTACAAACAGCCATGTCCTGTTTGCATGATTTTTCTGGATGTAAGCTGGAGTCTCCAATAAACTATACAGTCTTTTAAAGCTCACCTCTCCAGTCTGCAATGAACACTATCAAATACAGAAGTGAAAAAAAAAATACAGAAGTGAAGCACCAAAGCTTAGAAGACCGTGGGCAACAAAATGGTGTCAGATGGTCCAGCATTTGGACCTCACACTGATGGTTCTTCTCCCCCCCTCTGCCCTCCTGCACCTCTGGTGTCCTTTTGCTTGAGTACTTTCAAATCTGCCCCTCTGGAAGATCCTCTGCATCTTCATCCCTTGATGGGTAGTAGCAATGTGTGCCCTGAGCCCTGTGCTAACCTGAACGGCTTCTTCCTGTGTTCCTAGTCTCTCCAGGTCTCCCTGGCCCAGCTCAATCCTCATCCTCCCTCCTCCTCTGTAGCTTGGTCCTGGTTTCTTCTTGCCGGCGTCTCCAAGCAGCAATGATGGCTTCATCATCCATTTCCTCCTGTTCCTCCCTGTCAGTGCTTCTCCGATACTGGGACCTCCTTCCAGAGGCAAATCTCCCTTCTTCTCTGTTTTCTGTTCTTTCTTTCTCTCCCTCTTCCTCAGACCTCATGAAGCTCTGGGTGAATTTCCTCTTGGCTCCAAATTCAGAGAAGTCTGACTTGGATGACTCTTTCGCATCTTCCCAGCCCCTGGGCCTCGCCCAATTCGGACGCTGTGGCTCCGGGGATTCTTCCCCTTCAGACGGTTCAGGGGTCCGGTGGAAAAAGCAGGGCTCTGGGCTGTCCTCATGGGAGCTCAAGGTCTCACTGAACGTGGATCTGGAGAACTTATGTACCTCTTTGCCCTCCCTGGTGGAGGAAGAGGAGAACCTTGAAGTGCTTCTTACAGAGTTGCCCTTTGCCTCATGGTAGGAGGAGGTGTCTTGTTCTTCTGACTGGGATTTGGAGAATTTGTAACTGGAGGATTTTGACTCAGTTTCTCTGAGCAGGGAAGATCTGGTGTACTTCCCCCTGGAGCTTCCAGACCAGTCACTTTGGGGAGGAGATTTCTCCTCTGTCCTGAGGCCACTGAGCCACTTATTAATACTGCTATCCATCTCTTTGCCACCTTTGCTGCTCCCATCTCTAAAGTGATCAGAGACAGCCAGGGAGGAGGAGGTGTCTGTTTCAGGCTTTTGGGAATTACTACGAGAGGAATATTGGAAGCTTCCTATGGCACTGTCTGTGTCCTCATCCCCATCACCCACACTATCATCCTCATCTTCCTTGACCTTTTTCTTCTTCTTGAAAAGGGAGCTGCGTTTGTTGTCTGAGGCTAGCTTCTCCATTTTGTACTCAGACATCTTCTCTTCAGCTCCATTTGCATCTCCCTCTCCTTCCTGCCAAGCTCCTTTAGGTCCACATTGTCAGCAAAGAGGCTATATATAGGCTTGCTGGTTCCCCTCACTTTGCTCCTACTGCCTTCACCTCTGGAGCTCAGTGTGGTGTTGGAGGACAACACAGACTGCGAGTCAAAGCTGGGTATCGCCTGGCTCTGAGGCAACAGGCAGCCTCCCAGGGAGGAGCTGCTCTGTCCACTGAGCATGGAGACCTGGTCATCTCCCAGGCAGCTGCCCCCTGGTACCGCCTTCATGCTTGCAATGGATGGGGAGCGGGACAGCAGCAGCATTTCATTTTGCTTCTGTGCAAGAGTCTCAGTGACTACATTGGCAATCCAGTTCTGGATACTGGCAATGGAAATGGTGTCTCCAGGACCCACTGGTAGGTTAGGCAGCGGTGTGGTGGGGTTGGAAGCTGAGCATCCCCCTATATTGCTTGCAGCCTGAGATAGGTGGGAGTGGTGGCTCTGGGTGCTGAGTACTGATGCTGTGTCCCCATCAGCACTGACTGAGGAGGCTGCAGACCAGAATGCAGACAGGGGGATGCTCCTGCTGGCTGTTGAGCTGTCAGCCTCCCAGCTCCCCATGGACTGGCTCTCTTCCAGGGTCTGCCTGCTTCTCTCCAGCAGCTCCAGCCTCCGTTGCCTCTTCTTGGCTAAGACAGCATCCTCTCCCTTGCTCATCTCCATCACCTCCTCCTTGTTCTCACTGCCCACCTTTTTCTGGTGCTTTAGCTTCCAGGCCTGGTAGGCAGTCAGGTTGACGTCAGAGAGGTTCTTCTCCCCTGCTGCTTCCTCTGCACCATGCTCACTGCTTCCGTCTCCCACCTCTGAGTCTTTCTTGTGAAATCCAAACTGTATTCTCTTGATCTTCCACCTTTCTAGGGCAGTGAGTTTGTCCTTGTTCCTGCTGCAGAAGTTGTAGAAGGAACTGGCCTCAGAGACACGCTCTCCTCGTCATCCTCTCGCTCTCTGCTTCCTGCCTCTGAGCTGGTGTCCCCCTCCTCCCTCTTGCTCCTGGAGCGGTACCTTCGGGAAGCTTCCTTCTCAATCTCCATCAGCCTTTCGTTCCACATGTCCCAGGTGCTCTCGGTGGACACAGAGTCGGAGCGGCGCCTCACACCTCGGCTCTGGCTGCTCCTCTCCAGCTGCTGCTTCAAGACCCGGATGTCATGGCTGCTCACGCTCGCCGAGGTGCTGCTTTCGCTCAGGGTGTGCCTACGCCTTCTGCCAGCCAAGGAGCCAGTGCTGCTCTCCTCTTCCTCCTCCTCCCGACTCCATCGCCGGTGCCCTGCGGCTTGGTACTTGTCATTTCGGCTTTGCCACTCTTGGATGATCCTCTCCAGGTCCTCATCCCCCGAGTCCTCCCCACCCTGGGCAGACGAGGTGCAGCGCCTGCCCTCTCCAGCCTGGGCGGCCTTGTCCGCGGGGAGGCCCTGCCTCTTCCTCCACTCCTCGTACAGCTTCTCCTCCTCCTCTTCATCAATGAGGGTGAGTGGCTTGGAGGCCGGGCTGGACTTCCCCAAGGAGGCGCAGCTCAGGTGGCTGGTGGCGTCCTCTCCTCCTCCACCATCAGCGAGTGCGCTCTGGCGCCCAGCGTGCTCCCGGTGTCCTCGCCCTCCTCGGCCTCGTCTGCTGTCTCCTCCCCGCCATCCTCCTCTTCCCTCTCCTCCATCAGCTTCTCGTTGAGCTCCCGCAGCTGCTTCAGGAAGCCCCCGTTGGGGTAGATGGCTCTCTTCCTGCGCACAGTCATCAAGGCCTCCAGGATAGCCATGCTGTGGAAGATCATCAGGTAGGCGACCACCAGCACTGCTGACCTGCTGATGCCCATTTCGCTGCTGACCAGGACTTTCCCTGAAAATAAAATAAACACAAGAGACAATGACGCAGCTACAGTGGCTTCCTCATAGTGTTTTTCTGAAGACTATCACAGTATAAGACCCCTACACCGTGCATCTCCAGAATTATAAGCCCAAATAAAATGGTCTTCTTTGTAAAATAGCCTGCCTCAAGTATGTCATTATAGTAACAAAAACTTAATACAGACAGCATGAATGAAGACCACGTGTCTAGAACAAGAGTAATGAGGGACCCATCAGCCCAAACCTTCATCCAGCCTCTCTTGGATGCTTCCAGTGACAGGAAGCTCACTAGTGCACGGATACATTGGTGCACATGCCTCACTTTCACATTGGATTGTTCTAAGTTTTGGAATTTGTTGTTCAAAGTATAACTTACTGCAACATTAGGTTCGGTGCTTTAATCTCATTCTGGAGGCAATAATGAATACATCTATATGAACCAGACTTCTTATGCAAAAATCTTCAAGAAGGTCACTATCATATTCTTCCATAGTTTTTTTTTTTTCTTTTCCTGGCTATTCTTGTCTTCCAATCATTATTCAAGCATCTTTTTATGTAGCTCCTTATTATTCTAGCCACTTTTTTCCAAGTGAAGTGTTGACTTTATGAAGTTTTTTTTTTTTTTTTTTTTCTGAGGAATTTGTATCCACAATGAAGCAAGATATTTTCTGGTTTGGGCGAATGGGTGCCTCATTACTCTTGTTCTAGACACGTGGTCTTCATTCATGCTATCTGAAGGCAAGGTTGGGATGATTCTAGCGATGTCCACAACTTCTCTGCTAGATAGGACCTCCTTAAAGGTGACACTACAGGACACTGACTGAGGGGAGAGTGAGGCAAATGAACTGACAACTAGAGCAGCGATGCCTGCCAGGTGCACCGGCCCAGCTGGGGATCTGGTTTCCTAGTGCTGAGACCAACATCATGGCCCCCAGCAGAGCTTTACACCTTGTCTTGTGGCCTCGGTCCCCGCGCACCGACCTGGGCATCCCAGAGGGAAAGCTGGTGCCTGCGTCAATCTCTCGCAGGAAACTTTCTGCTTGGCTCAGCTCCGGGCATTGCGCGCCCCTTCCCCTTTGGGGAGTCCCTCTCCCTCCCTCCCTCTGCTCTCCCGGGATGGGGGATGGGGGATGGGGGGGGGGGCTCTCGAGGTGGCTCCCCTTCTGGGAATGCCTTCCAGCATCAGCGATCTGCCGTGATGGCCTTGGATGCTGTGGGTGATCCTTGGCAGTGGCCATGTCCACACGTGTCTTCTACCCCTTTCTCCTCTCTGGGCTAGGAGGTTGACTGGTGTACCCCAGGCCAAGAGAAAAGTGAACTCTATAAAACTTAAAAAAAAACTGCTACAAAGTCATGTCTCTTATAGAATATTTTAAACATAAAGAATCTTTACAAGTTCCTATTACTATTTTTGGTAGATGTAGCGTGTTCTTATAGCCTTTTGCAAACTTTAACTGTACCGTTCAATGGATCAGTTATCTAACTGGCCTCCCCTTCTGTTTTACATCCTTCATAAATGTGACAGACATTCTTTCCTAACTTCATTCTAATGGCTGTTTAAAATGCAGACTAAAACCCCTGAAGACCTTCCTGGCTGTTCATCAATCTATTTGCCACAGTCTTTGGAGATGTTTGCTAAATCGACAAGAGTCCTATCTAATAATATGAGATAGGAAGGCAACCAGCCCTTCTGAGGAATCATTAACAACATACCATTTATTATAGTAATGACTATAACTTTTAAAGCATTTATGATCTGCCAGGTGTTGTTCTAAATAAGTGCTTTTAGTTATACATTTAAAAAGGTATATAAAAATGTATTTAAAAATTTATTACTGGCTAGATGGTGGTATTTATCTCAGCACTCATTCAGAAGGTGGAGGCTGAGAGAAGAGGATTTTGAGTTCAAGGCCAGCCTGCTATATAGCAAGAAAATAAACCAAACCATAAAACAACAACAACAAAATGTGTCCCACAGCTACTTTAGGATTAGATGTTTCATGTTTTTTTATGTATGAGGAAGCAGAGGTTGCTTGGGATAAGGAAAGCAGTCCATGGTCACATGCGTATAAACACAGCAAATCCTGGACTCAAAACCCAAGTTTCTGGACAGCAAACCTTACACTCTTAACCACCAGGGCTTGTGGCCACTGCGCAGGTTCAACCCATCTCCTTGTAGAGACCCCTGGCTCTCCTATGGGCTCTAAAGATGAGTTAGACCCTCGTAGCTGTCCAAGCCCTGCTCTGCTCCTTCCTACTCCATCTATTCTCCAAGGCTCAGGGAGTGATTTCTAAGATATAAATCACTTCAAGATGCCTTTGTCCTCATTAAGAAGGGCCTAAACTGCTTTTGCTCAAAAGCATTGATTCCTTACTTGGGCCCATGAATTAAGTAAAAACAGGAGAAAAATTTGACATCTCTGTCCCCATTTTACCTGTTTCCTTTGCTCTGAGCTATTCTCTTCTACAGCCACCTTAGATCAAGGAAAGGACAGAAAATGATTGATAACGTCTTTTTCAAACAAGGACTGAAACTACCCCTAAGGAGGCCTTGCAGGACTAGACCACCCCTACAAATGAGGACAATTGCCTGTAATGATGAGGCAGAACACTGGAGCAGAAGTAATTATCTCATGGGAACCAGATTACCTCCCCTCAGATATGACAGCCCATAACAACAACTTTCTCAGAAACCCTTGAAAACAAGAGCTAAGATAACTTGGGTCAACCAGACCCCATTCAAACCACTGAAACACACCTTTGACTGGGCTGTTTAACTATGCATACCTTTCACCCTGTGCCCTAATTCTTTGTCTGTTTATAGATATAGCTCATGTCTGTACATTTAGCCTGAAGACGGCTAGTAAGCTAAGTATTTACTTTTGCCTCTTCCCACAGCATGTCCCAGCACTGTGATAAGTCTCCTTTCTCTGCCTTTCACCAATACCATCTCTTCATTTGATACAGGGGTGAGTAGCTGGACCTGACATGTAGAACCCCTAGGAGTTTAGCCCGTGATTCAAAGCTCTGTTTCACTCACCCTGAGCTTTCACTTCATGCATGATGACACCCCTGCCACTCAACACTCATGCACTATGCTAATCCCCTCTAGCTTTTGATTCTTGAACACATCAAAACCTATTTTACTTTAGGACCCTTGCAGGTCCCTCTTCTTCCATGTTTTCCCTCGCTAGCTCCTCCTTCCTTCCTTCTTTCCTTCCTTTCCTTCCATTCTTTCCATTTTCTCTCCCCTCACTGCAGTGTGAGATTGTCTATCTTTCACTACAGAACCTAGCATAGTATCTGAACACATGATGGGCACTTAACAATCACTTACTGGATGAATGATCATCCTTTCCTTTCTCTTCTTCTTAGAGCAGACAAACCATCTAAGACAGATTCCCTCCAGATAATCAGGAAGATATTTCATAACATTCCCCCACCTGCTTCTTCCCTGGGCAATTCCAGCAGCCGTGGAGTGGTCAGGGACTCCTTCACCTCTCGTATGTCAGCAGCGCTTCATCCAAGGAACTCAGCAGCTTCCGGAAATGCTGGGGGGGAGGGGGGGGGGGGGGGGGGGGGGGGGGGGGGGGGGGGGGGGGGGGGGGGGGGGGGGGGGGGGGGGGGGGGGGGGGGGGGGGGGGGGGGGGGGGGGGGGGGGGGGGGGGGGGGGGGGGGGGGGGGGGGGGGGGGGGGGGGGGGGGGGGGGGGGGGGGGGGGGGGGGGGGGGGGGGGGGGGGGGGGGGGGGGGGGGGGGGGGGGGGGGGGGGGGGGGGGGGGGGGGGGGGGGGGGGGGGGGGGGGGGGGGGGGGGGGGGGGGGGGGGGGGGGGGGGGGGGGGGGGGGGGGGGGGGGGGGGGGGGGGGGGGGGGGGGGGGGGGGGGGGGGGGGGGGGGGGGGGGGGGGGGGGGGGGGGGGGGGGGGGGGGGGGGGGGGGGGGGGGGGGGGGGGGGGGGGGGGGGGGGGGGGGGGGGGGGGGGGGGGGGGGGGGGGGGGGGGGGGGGGGGGGGGGGGGGGGGGGGGGGGGGGGGGGGGGGGGGGGGGGGGGGGGGGGGGGGGGGGGGGGGGGGGGGGGGGGGGGGGGGGGGGGGGGGGGGGGGGGGGGGGGGGGGGGGGGGGGGGGGGGGGGGGGGGGGGGGGGGGGGGGGGGGGGGGGGGGGGGGGGGGGGGGGGGGGGGGGGGGGGGGGGGGGGGGGGGGGGGGGGGGGGGGGGGGGGGGGGGGGGGGGGGGGGGGGGGGGGGGGGGGGGGGGGGGGGGGGGGGGGGGGGGGGGGGGGGGGGGGGGGGGGGGGGGGGGGGGGGGGGGGGGGGGGGGGGGGGGGGGGGGGGGGGGGGGGGGGGGGGGGGGGGGGGGGGGGGGGGGGGGGGGGGGGGGGGGGGGGGGGGGGGGGGGGGGGGGGGGGGGGGGGGGGGGGGGGGGGGGGGGGGGGGGGGGGGGGGGGGGGGGGGGGGGGGGGGGGGGGGGGGGGGGGGGGGGGGGGGGGGGGGGGGGGGGGGGGGGGGGGGGGGGGGGGGGGGGGGGGGGGGGGGGGGGGGGGGGGGGGGGGGGGGGGGGGGGGGGGGGGGGGGGGGGGGGGGGGGGGGGGGGGGGGGGGGGGGGGGGGGGGGGGGGGGGGGGGGGGGGGGGGGGGGGGGGGGGGGGGGGGGGGGGGGGGGGGGGGGGGGGGGGGGGGGGGGGGGGGGGGGGGGGGGGGGGGGGGGGGGGGGGGGGGGGGGGGGGGGGGGGGGGGGGGGGGGGGGGGGGGGGGGGGGGGGGGGGGGGGGGTCCACTTCTGGGAAGTCATCCACCTCCACACCCAGTACTGATCTCCAAGCCATGTGTAGAATTCAGGGCCAGTGTAAACACCAGTGCCATGAGCAGCATTCAGGATGTGGGTAATACCCAGCCTCTTTAGCCTTCCCTTGTTCACAGCCACGCTCCTGTAGTAAGAGACAGGGAGATGTTTGCTAGAGTCAGAACTAGAAAGGTACACTGCCATTGTGATGGGAGCCTGCTTCTGAGTCAGATGGTACAGTCCGGTAGTGTCTGCTCCTGGAGGTTCTGGAGCTCACTGCAAATATCTTTAATAAAGAGGAGTCAGTGACAGAAAAAGAGAAAAGAGATGGAGCTGGTTAAGGAAGGGGAGGGTAAAAAGGAGAGCAAGATTGATGTGTAAGGAAACTTCTGGATGGTTGAGCAAACTGGTTTAAAACCCCAAGCCTTGGGAATGTACATTTATCAAAGGATAAACACAGGACAAAAATACTAAAATTATATGTCCTGTACATTTATAGCACATTCTATGTTTTTCAAAAATCCCTTCATGAATTATTTTATTTTATCCTTATAAAAAAGGGCTATTTTTATTCCATTTGAGGGTTATAGAAATTAATCCAAAAGCTTTTATGACTACCCAAGACTGTAAAAGGGAAAAAAGACTGAACAAGAACTGGTGTTTTTGTTTTTTTCTTTGCAGTGCTGGAAATTGAACCCAGGTCTTGTGCATGCTAGGCAAGTGCTCTACCACTGAGCTACATCCATAGCCCAGAAATGAGATTTTTGATTGTTCACAGCTCTTTCCCTGCAGCTAAGTGGAGTTCGACATGAACAGATTCTGAGGATAGGCTACCCAAGAAGGAGCAGAGACCTTTAGTTGGGGATATCTGGAGTTTGCCTGGTGGCCAATTTAAAGATCTATAGATCGATTTAAAGATCACTTAGGACTTGATGCCTACTTCTGGAATCAGGTTCTACTCAACTAATTACCTGTGATGGAGTATAAGTACAAATGTCGAAAGCTGTTTTTCCTACTGCCTGCCTTGGGGCCCCAAATTCCTCCTTTATTTCTGGATATGAGTAATTACATTGGAGGACATCTCATTAAGTAGTCAATGGATCAGCAGAAATTACTGTCACGAATTAACCTACTGGTACTAATTTTGCACTGACAAGACCCTGAAGGAATAGAACATGAGAGAGTAGTTTTTGCTTTTGTTCTGGAAATCACTAATAAACTTTAAAAAATAAGTTTTCTGATTATAAAAACGATAAATACTTAGGAAGTTTGTATAGTTCTAAATAAGAAAATAAAAACCATTGTAAAACACCTCTGAGAGAGAAGTACTGTTAACAAATGTTAACAGTAGAATTATCACATTTCTTTCTAATTTATTGCTTGACTGTCAGCTTGATTGGATTGAGAAGTAAAGCGCACTCAGGGTTCGTGAAAGTGTTTCATTTCTAGAGAGGATTAGATCATGAGGGCTCTGACCTAATAAATGGTATAATCTATTAGTGGATTCAAAGTTTGAATGAACTATTGGAAGGTGGTGGAACTGTGGAAGGTGGGGGCGGGTTGGAGAAAGTGGATCAGGGCATGTCCTTGGGGCTATCTTGCCTAGCCCCTTCCTGTGACTGCTCTGCTTTGCTTCCTGATTGCCATGAGTTGAACAGCTCTACTCTACCTACTCTCCCCTGCTGTGATGGAATGAAACCTCTGAAACTATGAGCCAAAAGAAATTGTTCTCCTTTAAGTAGTTCTTTAAGGTATTCTGGTCACAGTAACTGACACAATGGGAAAGTGTGTGAACACATATACACACCTATAACTCCTTTAACATCATACTGTATATATACAGTATTCTTTTCTAATCTCATTTTCCTCTTACAGTATTGTGCACATCAACATTGACGGTGGCTCCTAGTGTTCTGTTACTTGGTTGTTACAGATGTCATGGGATGGTGGAGATAGGGAAGTTGGCAAGAGCCATGTCAGGAAGAGAGGCCAAGGGAAGGCTACTGGAAAGGACAAGGCTATGATACAGATCCCTGGTGGGAGGTAGAGGAAAGTGTTTGTTTTGCCTGGGATCTCTGTATGCAGGTGGGTGGGAAGAATTTCTCCAAGTCCAGAGCAGAATTTGTGGTCAGGTAGCCTCCAGTGGATGAATGGAACCACAGGGGCTTTTGGTGAAAGTTGCTCCCTCAGGCACTAGCCAGGGAGCAGGACAAAGGGACACGTTCCCCAGTGGTCACACTTACTTCTCAGCTATGAAGACATTGGGCCAGACCTCATCCACCTCATTCCTAGGGGCCTCTTGGTGGTCCTGAACCAGGGCCCGCTGCAGGTCCAGCACACAGGGGTATTGTAGAGGCTGGTGTCATCCATCTTCTCCCTGACACGGTTGTACAGGTCCTCCACCAGCAGCTGCTCGGCTGACTCCAGCATGCCTGGACACTCTGCATCTGCTCTGAGCCCCCGAGGCTTGAGTTCTAGAGGGAACCGGGAACATTCACATCGAAGAGTTAGAAACACCACAGCCTTCCCTGTCCCTTGGGAGAATTTGCCCTTGGCTACCTTGCTGCCAGGACTCTGGACATTGACTGAATGCCCACAGGATCTGCCAGGAAGGACTTGATGAGGGCTCTGGAGGCCACTACATTGGTCTGGGCACTTATAGCCAGGATCACTACAGGTAGGTGTGGAGGAAGGAAAAGCAAACTGGATTCCCTTACTCACTCCTTGTTTCTCTAAAGCTAAGTGATCATTCTTTAAACCCAAGTCCTTGAGTACTAGAGAGTATGTCTGACTCGTAACTCCCAAAGTACAAAGTGAATACACAGAAGTATTATATAAAGTGAATAAATGCTGTTTCATAACAGGATTCACCTATTACATATGGGATGCAAATAACCCTGGGGAAAGTAAAATTTTCAGCAGCCATTCACAAGATATTACCTTATTTTATTTATTGTTCACTTCCCTGCACTAGAGCCTGAGTGCCTGTGATTCTCCATCTTCCAGCTCTCAGACAGGTGACAAAAGTTTGCTATGAGCTCCTCAGCCAACCTCAAACCAGGATCCAGGGCTGATTATACATCAGAAATTATCAAATTCTACAAGAGACCCAAATTCCAAGCCACCCACATTTGTGGTGACCCTTATCTCTCCTAATAATATACTTGCTCACAATTCATCCAATTGGAAGGAAAAAAAGTAAGATGTTTCCTTTCTCTACAAAGGTAGATAAGAATAAGGGTGAGCAAAACTTCCCCTCTCATTCAGAAGCCAAAAATATTGAATAGAAAGAAGAAAAAAAAAAAGAAAAAGAAAAAGTATGTCCACTGTTTCGGCTACTAGCACCATCTTGGTCCATGGACAGGCAGTTTCTGGGTGGGGAGCTGGAGGAGGAGGAGTTGGCGCAGCCCTTCAGGGTATCACCAGGTAGATGTCTGGAAACCTGGCTCACTGGTCAGGGACTAGGAATCCTGGGAGTCCTGGTTCTGCCCAGGGGTGAGGATTCTATTCCTAAACTCCCTCTCCCCCCATTGCTGGTCTACAATACCTCATGTCTGCCCCCACAATCAGCTCTAAATCTTCTCTGATCTCCATTTCAAAGCAGAAAGAAGACCTCTGTAATCCCAGAACTCTGTTTTGTTTAAAAATAGATGGAGTGTTTCTATTTTCTCTATCACCCAATTTTCTGACCTGGCTTCCTTGGGCCTATATCACAAGTGCAATAGTCTATCTGTCTCCTCCCCTTCCCTACATAGATATCTTTCCTTACATGTAAAAATAGGCCCTCCCCCTCATTAAAAAATACAGTTAATGTAACAAGTTGTTTTGATTTCTTCTCTTTCAGCTTAAAAATAAATGTCCTTATCCCCACTGGGGACTCCTACTTTCCCTAGATCTCTGGTTCACACCTCAGCCACTTTAGAGTCTGCCTCCTTGCCTGCATCAGTCCTCCTATTTATCTCTACTACTGATCTTTCTTCAGAAGAAAGTAAAGCCTACACTTCTTTCTCCCCGTTCCCAGATTGAGGGCACATGTAGACTTCATGGAGAAGCAATTGTTTCTTCACATATAGTTTTTAACCTCTAATCACTAGCAAGGTACAAATGTTTTCAAATATCACCTAATATGTTTTTCTTTCTCTGTAATATATTTTTTCTTCCCCTACAACCCTTCAGCCACTAAAGCTAAAGAAATGTTGGTGTAATGCACCAGAGAAGGGGAGAGTAGATAAGACTTGGAATAAAAAATAGGTATTGCTCATCTTTGGTTTCAAACTAGACCTTGAGCAGCCATAGCATTCCATAGACTTGAAAGTGAAGCTTTCAAAGAAAGAAAATGGCTTCTTACAACTCCTAAATCTGCACTTTGACTTATCAAGAATCAAAGTCTGGACAGGGGCCTACAGAGTGGGGACCAGAGCTGAGATGATGCAGGATGGAAAGTTGGGTAAATCTCAAACACACAGGAGGAAGAAAGACCTTCCAGTGGGTAACTGGAACAGTTCAGGGAGAGCTGGACTAGGGTGAAGACACAGCCTGGGCCAGGAGGGCTTGGCCTAGCTTGGAGCAACACAACAGAGTCCCTAGGCAGGGTAAGAAAAGAAAGAAATCCCCAAATACAGGCACACCTTTGAGAAGATGGGGCCTCCCAGAGTGATCAGAGAATCCAGCAACAGCAAATTGAATGTTGGTTCTCTGAGGTATGCAAGAGCTCCAAATGTCCTCCAGGGTCAGGCCTCTTGGTCCCAGAATGAGGTGACACAAGGAGTAGCATGTGTGGTTCTCATGACTAAAGGCCAAGGCATCCACAGTAGTGGATGCCAGATTAAGTCTAAAGGCCAGCTGAGCTCTGTATCCACCGCCTTGTTGTCTTGTTCTGTCTCCACCCCACCCCCACCAGAAGTGTGAGGGACACCAGAGCGATGGGAAGAGACGAGGAGGAGGGACATCATGAAAGATTAGTTTGCTTCAAATTGAGTAGAAAAAAAACAATCCTTCCAATCAGGATGAGTACTCTTGAATGAAAATAGTATGTTGTGTGCTTCAAAAAGAGTGTAAAATATTATATTCTCCACCCTCGCCTTTCCTAGCTCCTCCCCATATGGAGTTCTGTTTAAAGACCATCTTCAAGCACCATGGATACAAATCTAAATCTAAATCCCTTGGGACAGAACTTCTGGATACTTCTAAATCCTTTCTTGGGTTCTCAGGTTTGTGTCTCTACCATAAGCCATCCCACCCACAATCCTTGACGTTAACAACAACAACAAAAAACTGAATGGCAGGTCCTAGGGGCAGATTGGTGCTGCCTCCCTGACTGTGGACTAGAGAACTCTTCACACTGATGTGTAGTAATTTCCACCTCTGTCCTGACCACGCTGATTAGGTGGGTTTGGAAGATGGCCTTCGTCAGATCAGAACTTCTTCATGACAGGCTGCAATGGACGAAGCACAGTCACACCTTTCAGTGGGGCTCCATGCAAGGGTCTACAGATGACCTCACAGACCCTCCCTGTCCCATCCAGATGTCAGTCATACTACCTTCATTGATGATCTGTTTGGCTGCAACTGTGGAAGAAAGGTGGATAGGTTCCATGAAATGCTTTCTGTCTCTGCATCTGAGACCATGGAGTACCTAAGAGAAAAGGATATGCATGTTAGATGACCCTGGGTAGCATCTGAATGGAAGGCACTGAGTTTAGACACAAGTGGAGAACAACCTAAGTTAAGGAACCTGGGAATGCAGTGTGGCTGGGTATCCTGTGGCTCAGGTGCTCATATATTTTCCTCATGGGAGTGGGCACCTCTGGTGTCAGAGTTGACATTGAATGATGCTGTAGTCTAGGTTGTGGAGCGTTGTCTGTGGTTAGGGATCCCCCCCTGAAGTGACTTCACTTTCTTAACATGTCCTGCTCATTAGTTTATCTCCACTTCTGTTCCTCTGCTATCAGTACTATAGGATGTCTCCAATTGTGCCTCCAAAAGGTTCTGCTGGATTGGTGGGCTGCATAGGCTGCCAGTATTCCCTCTGTTCCCCACATCTTCTTCCTGCTTGTAAGGGAGTGGGCTAATAATGAAGGACTGCCACAGCACCAAGTAAAGATGTGCTCCAATGCATAGGTCCTGATTCTGAGCACTAAAGATCAAGGGTCAGATAGACGCATGGATGTGATAAATAACCTGGATAAATGTCAAAGCTATTTCTTGAAAGAAAATCAATGGAGGCATCACAAGGGACTATTGAGGGGCATGGAGAACTAGGGCAGAGATCTCACTATAGTTCATTAAGGAACTCCTTTCTAATGTGTCCTGTTTTCTAGGTATTAGGGTGAACTTTGTTTTTTTTTTTTTTTGTCTACCTCCCACCCCATCTTCCCTTAGGACAAAAGAGGTTAAAAGTGGGGCGACTGAATCGATAGCATTTCTGAGTGCCTCTGCCAATTTAATTCTGACAAATCCCCCGCAAAACAGGTATTATTAGTCCTGCTTTATAGATGAAGAAACTGTGGCTCAGAGAGGTTAAGAAAATTGCCTAAGGCAGTAAGTAAATGGCAGGGATGAGTTGCAAACATAGAACAGTCCTGCTTTAAATCTAGTCTACTCTTCACCACAATACACTGATACCATTTAGGTCGGAACAGGGAGGCGAGACTATTAGTGGGAGCAACTCCAGCTGGATTCCCAGGCCCAATATAGACTTTGACACAGAAAAGAGCTTTAAAAATACTTGTTGAGCATGGATGGATGGATGAATTGAGCTGATTCCAACTGAACTGAACAAAGCCAACTTGAGCTAAGATTAATTGGAATGGAATTAAATTGAGTTGATTGGTAGAACACTTCTGCAACATCAGAGTCCACCCTTGGGAGAATGCCGTGCTCAGTGTTAGAAGGCCATGGAAAAAGAAAGGCCCTGGTCAGGGGAAGTGAGGAGACTGTGACCAGAAATGTGGCCAGACCTGCTCATGCAGCCTAATGTGACAGCACATCCAAGTGCCTGAGATTTTTCCATTCTTAGCACCAAGTACTCCTTATGACCAGAGGGTTCATCTTCAAGTAGATATGACTGGGAAGTATGGATGGATATAGAGTGAGGTTTGTGGGATATTATTCTTGGATGTTGGAAGAGACATCTTTAGAAATTTCATGAAAGTAATAAAAATTAGAGCACTTGGTGGGATGAGTATAGAGTAGGTGGTCTTATTTATACTTGTGTCTCCAGCAGGTGATTCTGATGTCTGAGTGAATGGATGGTACATGGACAGGTTGGGTAGATGAATGAACAGATATATACCTGGATGAATGGAGGGACACTGTTAAGCACTAGGCAAGGTGTCTACATATCACCTTTGGGATACAACCCAATGGTCTCCAAGGTCCCTAAGTTCTCTGACCCCTGCCGTCTCTCCAGTCTCAAGTTCATTGGGTTCTCTTTTGCTCACTTCTTTCTGGTACACCGGTCTTTTGGATTCCCATCCTTGCAACCTTCCCTCTGCCTGGGACTTGGCAGAAACCCATTTCTGCAGCCTGGATGCTCTGTCCTCCTCTTCTTCCCTCATCTTTCAGATCTTAGTCCAATCATCACTTCTTTGAGGAAGTCTTCTCTAGTCTTGCACCATATCTACCTTCCCTTTATGAAACTTCTAGCTGATGCATTTATACTTTTTAAATGAACTATTGTGACAGGTATTCTTCTTTACTAGACCATATCCTCTATGCGGGTAGGCATTATGGTTAACCATTGTGTTCCCAGAACCTAACACAATGTCTGACACCAGAGTAAATGCCCAATAGATATTTCTGACTCACAAGACTAATTGAATTTTCCCTCAGTAGCACTACATTTAAAGGAATGTGGCAGTTACAACATCCAGCAACAAGATTTATCAAGTCTTTGCTACACACTCAGTAACAAGCCCAAAAACAGGCCAATCTTGTCTAAGTTCTGTCCATGCATACTCCCTGCCCTTCTGAGGCCAACACTTAGTCTCTGGGCCCATATAGCAGTTGGCATTTTTCTTAGAGTGGATTAAAGGTCCTGAATCTGTGACTTCTCTCATAGAGAGCTGAGGTCTGTGTTCACATCCTTTAAATCTGGGTGGTCTGCTGAGAAGAGACATATGTTAATATTCCATTGTCTCTGTGACTGCCCAGACCAACAGAAATATGGCAGAGAAATGAGACTAGGCCAGTTCTGAACCCATATCTTTATTTTTTTTCATTTTTAAATAATGCATAGTAATGGTTATGAAGAACAGCAGTGATATTTCAATACATATAATAGGACATATATAATGATCAAATCAGAGTGGCTAGCAATTTCCATCTCCTTATCACTTTTTCATGTTTGGAGACTTCAAGCTCTTTTAGTTCATCGTAAATTATATAATAGGTTACTGTGAACTATAGTTACCCTTCTGTGCTAAGAATACTTGAACTTATCTTCCTATCTAACTACATTTTGGTACCCATTTTCCCAACTTCCCTTAATCTCCTCCCTCATACCTTTACTATTTCTTAGTTATTGCTATTCTCTTCTTACTTTGGAATAAACTCTTTCAAAGATTCTAACATACAAGTGAGAACATGTGTTACTTGTCTTTCTATATCTGGTTTATTTCACTTAAAAAGTGCTATAACATGGAGTGCAGATTTCTCTCTCTTTCTCTTTCTTTGAGACAGGATCTCACTATGTAGCAGGCTGACCTGTCTCACTACATATTCCTAGCCTGACCTCAAACTTTCGATTGCCCTACCTTTACCTCCTGGGATTGAGATCAGATGCATGCACCACCTTGCCCAGCACAGGTATCTTTGATATATTAATTTTATTTCTTTTGCATATGTTGAAGTGGATGCCTGGATCATATGGCAGATTTATTTATATATATTTTTAAAGAAATCTCCATACTGTTCTCCATAATTACTGTATTCATTTACATTCCCACCAGTAGTATATAAGAGTTTCTTTTTCTCTGCATCTTCACTAGCACTTGTTATTTTTTGCTTTTTGGTTAACAGCCATCTGAATAGCATGATATCTCATTGAAGTTTTGATTTGCATATCCCTGATTGCTAATAACATTGAATATTTTTTATATATTTCATGGCCATTTGTATTTCTTCTTTTCTTTCAGTACTGGGGTTTGAATTGGAGCCTCATGCTTGTGTATCAGGTACTCTACCACATGAGCCACACCCTCAGCTCACACGAGCACATTTTAAATTGGATTTTTTGTTGTTGTTGTTGTTGACTTTTCTTGAGTTTGTTATATATGCTGATTAATAATCTCTTGTAAGATGAATACTTTGTTTCCATTTATTTGTGTCTTCTCTAATTTCTTTCATCAGTGCTTTGTAATTTTCATTGTAGAGGTCATTTACTTCCTCGGTTAAATTTATTCCTAGGTATTTTTTGTGTGGTAGCTACTGCTAATGGATTGTTTGATTTCTTTCTCAGAATGTTCATTTTTTGTTGTATAAAAATGCTGTTGAATATTGTATGTTGATTTTGTGTCCTGTGCCCTTACTGATTCATGCATTATCTCTAATGTCTTTGTGGAGTCTTTAGGTTTTTCTCAGTGTAAAATCATTGCATCTGTACAATTTTTTTATTTCATTCTCTTTTCTAATTGTTCTGGCTGACTTCCAGAATGACATTGAATAAGAGTATGAAAGTGTACATTCTTGTCTTATTCCAGTCTTAGAGAAATGCTCACAGCTTTCCTTGTTCAATATGATCATGAGCATGGGTTTGTCATATATAGCCTCTGTTAAGTTGAAGTATCTTTATTCTATACTTAATTTGTTCAGAGTTTTCTTCACGAAAGGCTATTGAATTTTATTGAATGCTTTTTCTGCATCTATTGCAATGATAATATGATTTTTGTCCTTCATCAATTAATGTGATGTATTACATTTATTGATTTGAGAATGTTGAACCATCCTTGAATTCCTGGGATAAATCACCTTGATCACCTTTTATGATCTTTTTGATGTGCTGCTGAATTTTGTCTGCTAGTATTTGTGGAGAATTTTTGCATTTGTGTTCATCAGTGATATGAGTCTATAGTTTTCTTTTTGTTGTTGTGTATCCTTATTTGGTTTTGGTACCAGGATAATGTAGTCTAGTAAAATGAGTTTGGAAGATTTCCCTTTCTTTCAATTTTTTGAAATAGTTTGAGAAGAATTGGTGTCAGGTTTTTTTGTTTTTTGTTTTTTTAAGATTGGTAGAACTAAGCAGTGAAGCTATCCTGTTCTTGCCTTTTCTTTGTTGGGACACTTTTTATTACTGATTCACTCTCATTACTCTTTATTGGTCTGTTTAGGGTTTCTGTCTTCATAGCTAAATTTTCTTCCAGGTTTTCCAATTTTGTTGGTGTGTAGTCATTGATAATAATTCCTAATGATCCTTTGTATTTCTATGGTATCAGCTTTTTTATCTCCTTTTTAATCTTTGATTTTATTTTGGTTTTCTCTCTTTCTAGGTTAGTCTAGCTAAATATTTGTTGATTTTCTTAGCTTTTTAACAAACCAACTATTTTGTTGATCTTTTGTAATTTTTTTTTGGTCTGTATTTCATTTTTTTCTGCTCTTATCTTTGTGATTTCTTTCCTTCTGCTAATTTTGAATTTG